AACACAATGCGATATCCTTTTCAATTTCAAAGAACACAAATTGGGTTACATTAACAAATAACTATAAAATAACAATACTGTAGAAGAAGAAAATGAATGCCGTGAATACACCGAAATACACGTGTCGAAGCGCTTCGCTGCTGATTACTGCTGATCTGCCCTTTCAGCAAGCAATGTGGACAAGTTCATTTTTCTTTAAAAAAACATGAAAATACAATGACAAGCAAGTCCTAATGTCAAACTGGCTGCTTAGGTACTAGTACAGTTCAAATACAGATTATTTCAGTTCATCGAAATGCTGCACCTTAATGTTGATTTTATTATATTTTGTATTTATTTGAGTGAATACATTATTCACAGTTTAATAATAATTAAAAAAAACCCAACAAATATTTTATGTTTTGTGATCATTTCTTCTGCTGTACCGAAAACATACCGAACTGTGACCTAAAAACCGAGGTACGTACCGAACCGAAATGTTTGTGAACCGTTACACCCCTACTGGATGGTGACAGTGAGTTGTAGTTTTTAAAAAAAGGGACCCGTAGGATATAAAAACCCAACAATAAAAACAAATATTATTTGTGAAGCACTGACCTGATCCGTCACATCATAAACTACTATAATGCCGTGCGCTCCTCTGTAGTAACTGGACGTGATGGTGCGGAAACGTTCCTGACCAGCCGTGTCCCACTGAGGAAGAAAAACAGATCTCGTCAGTCCAACAGATTCAAAGATAATCCAAAGTGTATCACTGCTTATCTCTTTACAGCCCGATTGCGCTACGTTCTCCTTACAATCTGAAGTTTTATGGTCTTTCCGTCCAGCTCGATGGTCCTGATCTTGAAGTCCACACCGATGGTACTAATGTAGCTCTCCGTGTACGTATCATCCTAGGATAACACACAAACACACAGGTGGGTCTGAGTGTTTATCAACTCACACAGCAGTGACAGGTCAAAAACATAAAAGCCTGTTACGTAGCAGTGGCTGAAACACTTACTGCAAACCGGAGGAGGAGGCAAGACTTTCCGACACCAGAATCCCCGATCAGGAGCAGCTTGAATAAATAGTCACTGTGAGGAGAGAGGAGGAGAAACAACATCAAACCCCCTCCTAAATCACATAATAATTAAAAGGTTTGTTAGTCTCTTAATGTTTAAAACAAATACTTAATTGTAATCTTGCGTCAGTTTCTTACACCTATGCACTTTGACCCTTGTCTTTTTGTCAGCAAAACAAATTGTATATAAAAAAATGTTTTTGTCAGGTACTGAAATGTAAGTATTATAGTGGCGTTGATATTACACAAACTCTAAAAACACAGCTGATAAAAAAGATCGTTGAGATGCAAATAGATTTTTTTTAAATTGTTGATTATTCTTTCAATTAAGAAAATGGAAAATGTCCATCTCATTTGAGAGCTAGAGGTCACTCAATATACTTTTTTTGTTTGAACACCAGTCCCAAACCCCAAAAAGTACTAATTTACAATACAGACATTTGAATATGAACTGACTTTGGGTTTCATCTAAACAAGATATCACCTTGGACTTTGAGAAACAGGAAGGAACGTGTTGTACTTTATTTTTCATATTATATTCATAAGAATGAATCAAATAATCATCGGATTATTCAATAATTATAAATAATCATCAGTTGCAGACCTGAGGAAGTTTTTCTTAAACTTGTAACTGAGTATTTTTCAGAGGTGAAAGAAGTACTCATATTATTTACTTAAGTACAGTTTATAAATAATCTGTTACAAATTGTAAAGTAATTAAGTACATTTACGCAATTACTGTGCTTGAGTACAATTTTGAGAAACTTGTACTTGTATTTCCATTTTATGCTTCTTTGTACTTCTACTCCACTACAAATCAGAGGTACATGGTGTACTTTTACCCCGCTACATGTATTTAATACCTTTAGTTACTTTACAGATGAATGATGTGAAATATCAAGTGTTAAATCTTTAGTTCCACCTGGAGTAAATTCACCAGCTACCCTGCAGTATACAAAGTCATTCAGACTAGCTGCACCTTCACCAGCTTTGAGAACACTTTCATGATCAATCATTATAAAACATATCATATATATTATTCTGAAATGGGCCAATCTGCACAATGACTACTTTTACTTTTAGTACTTTAAGTATATTTTGATGTGAATACTTTTGTCATTTTACTTGAGTAACTTTTTGAATGCAGGACTTTTACTGAAACAGAGTATTCCTACACACAAGATGTACTACTTCTTCCGCCTATGGTTACAGTCAAAGTACTGCAATCAAAATGTTACTTAAGTAAAAGTACTGGCCTAAAAATAAACTTTAGGAACGAAAAGTAATCTTAATGCAGAATGACCCATTTAAACACCAGATATTTTTTATAAATTGTATTAAAACTGTTGGTGCATTCATGTTTTCGTCTTCAATGTTGTACTTGGTTAACCATGGGGTTTACTTGAATTGCTTTACACAATACTAGGTAGCTTAGCCTATAATAATGTATGCATCTATTTATATTTTTGTATGAACCTAAATCTGCTAAGTAACTACTAGTAACTAACTAAGTATGTACAATAAATGTAGTGGAGTCAAAAGTACAACATTTGCCTACAAAATAGAGCGGAGTCACAGTGTAAAGTAGTATCATTTGAAAATGCTCAGTAAAAAACAAATACCTGAATAGTATACTCAAGTACAGTACTTGAGTAAATGTACTAAGTTAGATCACCCCCGGTATTTCTACACTGTAGTATTGTTACTTTTAATTAAGTACACGTTTGAATGCAGAACATTTACTTGTAACTGAGTATTTTAAGACTGTAGAGAAATGAAGAATCTGAGTACTTCTTCCACCTCTGCTGTAGTGAAGTAACAGAGAGACTGGTATTACCTAACTAACTCCACATCATCAGGATCACATTCAGTGACTTCCTGTTTGCGGTGGATAACACTGAAACTACCCATAAAACCTACACCAAAGCAGTTAAGATAAATCGAGTAGTTTCATGTTTACTGAGAGGACTGTGGACTATCAAACTGTCACTATGTGCCCTAACCATTACAATAACAAAATCCCCAACAGTAACGTTACGTAGCTACGCCGTGAGCTAGCTAGCCAACTAGCTAACATGCTACACCCATTCAGTTACCATAAAGTGAGCTAACAAACATTGTTGACCGAAGACAAATAATACCTAGATTTAGCTGGTGTTATATTGAACAGAAAATACTGACAAGCGTGAGTTTTGTGGTAAATATCAACGCTGTCATTTGATAGTGCGTACACGAAAAAAACCACAGCCCCATAACTCGCTAGCATAGCAACGAAGACAAAGCAGCTGACGTTCATTTTGTACGGTTAGCCTGGGAAGCTAACGTTAGCTTCCAGGCTAAGCTAACGATAGCTTCCCCGGCTAAGCTGACAGCTCAACCGGACCTGTCATAATCGACAATAAAAATGCCTACTTACTATTCGGGATTCATCGTTGACTACGGGTTATAAACTGTTGTTACTATGAAAGCAGCAGGACTTCGTCGCGGAATACCTCAGAGCTGGCGGCGTAGTGGAGAAAAACACACCGTTTTCTGTTTTTTGTGTGTGTCAAGAACTGGCTAAACTGGTTGTCGCAGGAAGAACAGCATAATCGAATCAAATATGGCTGTCAGCAATACCTACCCGGAAATACCACACGATGGGAATCATGGGTAGTGTAGTCTTGTGGCAATGCATGTTTACACTGCAGTCAGGTGTACAATTTACAGTATTTTTGTATTTCCATGGTGAAACAATTAATCAGATCAAGTTAGTCAGTAAATAAGATTAGATAAAATAGGATATACTTTATAGATCCCAAATTGGGACATGTTTTTCTAACAGCAGTGTGTAAAACAAGGCATTGCACATCATTAGAAATTAAAAAGAGTAGAAAATAAACAATTGTGAAATATGAACATCGTAAAGATAACAATCTTGAAACTATCTGACAAATAAAACGCTATTGAAGGGCCAAATTGCAGCTAACACAATATACAAGTAGGATATTATTTAAATGTATTAATACTTCACTTTGCAGAAAGTTCTGCAATAAAAGTAAAAATCCTAACTAAAAATCAGAAAGATGGCTTAAATGTAGGCTAAAAGTATAATTTTACAGTTCTGATAAATCTGATGAATTATCATTTAAAAGTATGGATTAATCTGATGATTATTTTTGAAAAAGATATGGTGTCACGATTATAATAAAACTCTCTAATGATTCAGAGATCAGTCCAAACCTCCATTAATAATTAATTGAAAGTCAAATCAGCAAATTCTTTATTTTGTAAATCTGGAGACATCAAATATTTTTAGAAGGTTATAACTTCTGAATAAAAGTGTAAAAAGTGAAGTGAAGTTTAACTGCTGTTCAGTGGTGTAACTAAGAATATTCACTAAAGTATTGTACTTAAATACCATTTTGAGGTACTTCTAATCTGTGCTACGTTGTACTACTCCAATACAATTCAGAGCTAAATATAAATAATACATTTTACCCCAGTACATTTATTTAGTACCTTTAGTTACTTTTCAGATGTGGATGAATGATGTGAAATATAATCAAGTGTTAAATCAGACTTTAGTTCCACCTGGAGTAAATCCACCAGCTACCCTGCAGTATACAAAGTCCTTCAAACTAGCTGCACCTTCACCAGCTTTGAGAACACTTTAATGATCAATCATTATAAAACATATCATATATATTATTCTGAAATGGACCAATCTGCACAATGACTACTTTTACTTTTGGTACTTCAACTATATTTTGATGATAATACTTTTGTACTTTTACTTGAGTTACATTTGGAATGCAGGACTTTTACTGTAACAGAGTATTCCTACACTCTGGTACTTCTTCTTTTACTTAAGTACAAGATCAGAGTACTTCTCCCTCCTTTGTTGATATTCTGGGTTGTCATAAACTTTTAAGCAGTGGTGAAAGAAGAACTCAGATTTCTCATCTTGTGTTTATGAAACAATCAATATAGTGCTGATGCCTTTACATGACATGATATGAGCAAACAAGACCATCAGCGAGGAGATAGGCTGTTTCAAAATGTCTCTCTCTGGGTATTATTCAGATGAAACCATCACAGATATGGGGGTCAGCAGCAGCCTCCGGACGAGGTGTTGAACAGCTTGCTCTGGATCTTCACATTGGACTTCTTCGAGGACCCGGCCGTGGCCCCGGGGCCCATCCTCTTCTTGATCTCTGCCGCCATGGTCATGAAGGCTTGATCCACGTTGGTGGCGCTCTTGGCGCTGATCTCCAAGAAGGGGATGCCCACGTTTTCGGCAAATTCCTGGAGATCGAAGAGATTAAAATCAACGGATATTAAATAAATGAAATATCTTGAAAACATACCATCTGCTACGGATGATTGTGTGACACTAAAAACTCAATAACTGCTGCTTATGAGACCGTTCGGTTTTCATGGTGATTTTCAATTTAACTTGAGTTGAATATTCTCTGACCAAGGAAAATCTTTAGTGTCCATTGTATAAAAAGTCCCACTTGCTTGCTTTTTCCATAGCTTTCAACCAAAACGGGCAGTCTTTTAAGTTACTAGTTTTCCTAGTTGTATTTGTAAAGCAAACTGAGCTGTGTGAGGTGGAGTTAAGAGTCTAGGTAGCATACAGAGAATTTCTGGTTATTTACAGGAAATATTAATTTAAATGGTTCGGTCATTTTGTGCCCTGAATAACCTGAGGATGTTGGAGCCAAATCAGAACTGTTGACGACTTTCATTACATTACATTGCATTTAGCTGACGCTTTTATCCAAAGCGACTTACAATAAGTGCGTTCGTCCAACAAAATACAACTTGAAGAAAACAGAATCATATAAGTACATCAGGTTTCATAGAGCAAAAACATTTAAGTGCTACTCAACTGGCTTTAGGTAAGCCAGTCCTTTATTAGTATAAAAGTGCTTTGTTAATAGTTCTATCGCTCGAAGTGGAGTCGAAAGAGATGAGTTTTCAGTTTGCGCCGGAAGATGTGCAAGCTATCTGCCGTCCTGATGTCAATGGGGAGCTCATTCCACCATCTTGGAGCCAGGACAGCAAACCCACGTGTTTTCGCCGATGGGAACTTGGGTCCCCCTCGCAGCGAGGGCGCAGCGAGTCGTTTGGCTGATGCAGAGCGTAGTGAACGCGCTGGGGTGTACGGTTTAACCATGTCCTGGATGTACGAAGGGCCAGATCCATTCGCAGCATGGTAAGCAAGTACCAGTGTCTTGAAGTGGATTCTAGCAGTTACCGGAAGCCAGTGAAGGGAGCGTAGGAGCGGAGTAGTGTGGGAACATTTAGGAAGGTTGAAGACCAGACGAGCCGCTGCATTCTGGATGAGCTGCAGAGGTCGGATGGCACATGCAGGTAGACCAGCCAGGAGGGAGTTGCAGTAGTCTAGGCGTGAGATGACGAGAGCCTGGACCAGAACCTGAGTCGCTTTCTGTGTCAGCTGGGGACGTATCTTCCTGATGTTGTAAAGCGTGTATCTGCAGCAACGGGTTGTAGCAGCGATGTTTGCAGTGAAGGACAGGTTGTTATCTAGGGTCACACCCAGATTCCTTGCAGTCTGAGTCGGGGAAACAACTGAGGTGCCGATGTTGATTGTTAGGTCAAGAGTGGGACAATCTTTTCCCGGAAGGAAGAGCAGCTCAGTCTTGTCAAGGTTGAGTTTGAGGTGATGAGCGGACATCCACTGAGAGATGTCAGCCAGACACGGTTAAAAAGACTTTGATTCTGAAGTTTAAGACTGGTGAGCTGAGACATGATGGCTTGATTGGGTTGACTCGTCTGTGTTAATTGTATATTCTCAGAAAAAGAGATTTAAAACAACTTGGTCTGACCATAAAATGACTTAAAATCAATAAATAAGTCAATAACCGCATAAAATATCTATCAACCCAAATATGGTTGAAAATGGCAAAAATATTGAACTTCTTACTAATTCCCCACAGTTCAGCCAGCTGTCTGACCAGCTGCTGGATGTTCAGTCGAGTACAAGTTCATGATTCCTCGTTTAAACCTCACAATACAAACTGAGCTCATCACATTTCCAAAGCTATCACGGTGAGACCACAGTGGCTAAAGAAAACCGACCGAACTGCTGCTCAGTCAGCTCGTACTTATCTCATTTCCCCTTTGGATACAGATATCTGGACAAAGTGTCTCAAAGAGTCTCAGCTTTGTGCATTGCCTCACCTTAGCTGTGGTGTAATCCACGACTTTCTTCTTCGTGAGGTCACACTTGTTGCCTACTAGCAGCTTGTTGACGTTCTCGCTGGCGTAGCGGTCGATTTCCTGTAGCCACTGTTTGACATTATTGAAGGACTCCTGAGGGAAGGCAGCAGAAAGAGGACAGACATTAAAACAGATACTAACGTTGGAAAAAAACCCGTTATTACTCAATGGCATCCGGTTTGCAGCAGAGGTCTGTTGGAGAAAATGCTGACAGGGCAATGATGCATCTTTTTTTAGAGATAATTGAAACCAGGGTCTTCCTCAAAAGGTAGTATGCCTTAAAGGTCCCATGTTATGCTTTTCCGGTTATTACCCGTCCCCTTGTGTGTTATGTTGCTTTTTATGCATGTAAACGGTCTGCAGAGTCACAAACCCTCAAAGTACACCCTGTAGCGAGTAAAACTCTAACACAGAAAATACCTGACTATGCTGCCCATTGTAGATTTTTCTTTTTCCATTTTTTTCTTCCGGGGTCTATTGACGTCACTAAGTCCAAATGGACCAATTGGCACACAGCTATAGAACAATAGGCATACCCTCTGCCAGGGTGGACTCCCGGGCAGCGTGAGGTGGATTTCCCGCTGTGTTTCCCTGCGGATGCTGGATAGACTAAGTTCCATGTTAGCGGGACATTACGGAGCTCACGAGTCCGCCCCGTGAGGCCCCCGGAGCGGACAGTGTGAGGTGGATTTCCCGCTGTGTTTAACCAGGAAAAGACACCAGTAATCCACCTCACACTGTCCGCTCCTCGAGCCCCACAGGGCGGAGCAGCGAGCCCCGCAATGTCCCACCAACACGGCACCCAGACCCCACGCAGCATTCTCATCCGTTTGTCATTACTGGTGTCCTTTTCTGGTTGCTAACAAACGCCATTGTCACACATAAACACTGATGTTCCGCTGTAACGGTGGTGGACTCATAAGAACAGAGTGGGCGAGCTGACCAATCAGAGCACAGTGGGCTCACAAGGAGGGGGGGGGGGGGCAGGAGCTCCAACAAGCCGTGTAGGACAGAGTGAATACACATACTATACAGAGATGCTGTATGAGAAACCAATGTGAGTTTGGAACATTGAACAATGTAAATCTATTCTAGTATTCCTTAACAATGGAAATATGATCAGTAGAAATGGCCATGACATGGGACCTTTAACAAAACGTATTAAGAGAGAATCTCCACAGGATGCTACTGAAATCTGTGGAAATTGACAGTTTAATTACAGATATATTAGTATGATTCTTTAAAGACTCCGAAAGTTCAGTTCAGAAGAGCCAACGATAATTAGGACAGTATAATTTCAATTCAGTGTATTTTAATACACAGTCATGAGTAAAGTTTTAAAAACATTTCAACAATAATTCTTAAATTGTACACTCTAAATAAAAGATATTTCGTTTTTTTTCTTTCAGGGTTGAAAAGGCGTGTTTAAGGGTCTACTGGCGGTGATGCTTTGATCTGAAATATTAACAAATTGTACTTGACTAAGGTTCATCAACACATGTAAGTACACTAGCTGAGGGTGTGTAGCTTTAGTTCAATCATTATTTTTGTGTATCTTTTTATAGCTTTTTATTTTTCATAATGGCCTTTTGTTTTTATTTTATTCGCTCTGTTTTTTATCCTCCTTTTTGTATCTTCATCTCTTTCTAGTAACCCTTAATTGTCCCTAAATAAAGTGTTTCTTATCTTGTTAATAACATTAATTAGTTATTAGCATATATGACTGGATGATGACAGCGAGTTGTCGTTTTTTTTAAGGACCAGTAGGATATAAAAACCGAAAAATAAAAACTAATCTTATTTGTGAAGCACTGACCTGATCCGTCACATCATAAACTACTATAATGCCGTGCGCTCCTCTGTAGTAACTGGACGTGATGGTGCGGAAACGTTCCTGACCAGCCGTGTCCCACTGAGGAAGAAAAACAGATCTCGTCAGTCCAACAGATTCAAAGATAATCCAAAGTTTATCACTGCTCATCTCTTTACAGCCCGATTGCGCTACGTTCTCCTTACAATCTGAAGTTTTATGGTCTTTCCGTCCAGCTCGATGGTCCTGATCCTGAAGTCCACACCGATGGTACTAAAGGAGATCCCTGTGTCATCCTAGGATAACACACACACACACACACACACACACACACACACACACACACACACACACACACACACACACACACACACACACACACACACACACACACACACACACACACACACACACACACACACACACACACACACACACACACACACAACAACTATCACAGCAGTGACAGGTCGAAAACATAAAAGCCTGTTGTAGCAGTGGCTGAAACACTTACTGCAAACCGGAGGAGGAGGTTAGTCTTTCCGACAGAAGAATCCCCGATCAGGATCAGCTTAAATAAATAGTCACTGTGAGGAGAGAGGAGGAAAAACAACATTAACGCAAAAATAATTATCAAAACAGCTCCTTGATCACATAATAAATAGAGACTTGTTTGTAATGCTTAAAACAAATAGGCCTACTTTATAAATTAATCTTGGGTTGAATGTGTTGTCATGTTCTTACACCTGTGCCCTTTGATCCTTGTCTTATTTACATTTTTCTAAAGTTATTGACTATTTAATACATATTTTCGAATAGTTTATTTTGTTAAAAAAGGCACTTTTAAATGCAAGCAAAAATAAATAAAAAACGATGTTTTGTCAGGTAGTGAAATGTCATAATCGGCAATACAAATGCCTACTTACTATTCGGGATTCATCGTTGACTACGGGTTATAAACTGTTGTTACTATGAAAGCAGCAGGACTTCGGCGCGGAATAACTGGAGCTGGCGGCGTAGTGGAGAAAAACACACCGGTTTCTGTTTTTTGTATCAAGAACTGGCTAAACTGGTTGTTGCAGGCAGAACAGCATAATCGAATCAAATATTGCCAGTGGTGCACAGAACTTTTTTTAGCGAGTTACTCAGATGAGTACCAGGAGACGGCGTACTCACCCCACACGAAGCGTGGTGTTAATAAGTGCAGTCTTCCTCAGTGTCTACTTCACCTCTATTTACACTTCTTGCATGGATGATGAAGAGGCTGCAGATGTACCTCCGTGTCCCTGTTTAAGACTCCGATTCGCTTTCTCCAAAACGTTTTGCCAAAAATGTGAAGTCCTTGCATTTCCTGAGGCCAAGTTGAAGGATCAAATACTAAGAAATTATCACATGACTTGAAGTCATCTGATTTCAGATGTAGGAAGTAACTAAGTAGGCTACACTTATTTAAGTACTGTAATTATGTACAATTTTGAGATACTTATACTTTAATTGAGTATTTCTATTTTACGCTATGTAGCCATACTTCTACTCTACTTCAGGATCGAGGTAAATTGTGTACTTTTACTCTACATGTATTTAATACCGTTAGTGACTTTACAGATGTGGATGAATGATGTGAAATATAATCAAGTGTTAAATCAGACTTTAGTTCCACCTGGAGTAAATTCACAAGCCCTGCAGTATACAAAGTCATTCAAACTAGCTGCACCTTTATCTGCAAAATTACTACTTTTACTTTTGGTACTTATATTTTGATGATAATACTTTTTCTAATTTGACTAGAGTAACATTTTGAATGCAGGACTTTCACTGTAACAGAGTATTACACAAGATCTGCGTATTTATTCCACCTCTGTCTGATTTCAAACTCTTCCTTTAACACCCTGAGTAAGTTTGCAGCAGTGTTTTGCTCCACTTTGTTGTAAATAAAACTGCAGCAGCTTGACCACAGAGCGTGAATGTTGCGATCAGCTGGTTTTGCGCAGTTCTCCAGAATGTGCACTGGGGAGTCTCCCTCCGCAGCCAGTTGCCGTAGGTTTTGGCAACAATTCCGTTGCACATACCGACGTTAACAGTATGTGCACACTGCGACCACTTTGTCCTCCAGTGATCCTCACTCAGCCTCCTATAAAAGCTTCACAGGTCCGTCGGTGATGGCCTGCGGGTCGGCCAGCAGCACCCAGTGCAATCAGTCCAAGAAAGTCCTTAGATATTTTGCAGGGAGCAAAACGCCAAAGTGGCTGCTTAATGTCTTTTGGACATGTCTAATAGTTTACTCCACTGAGTGTTGACAAGAAACACGTGTAGACGAAATGTGTGTTTTATTTTGATGACCTATCTGGTACGCAAAGGCGCGTAGTGACACAAGGGACGTTACGCAATTCAGAAGTTACCTACCCGGAAATACCCCACGATGGGAATCATGGGTAGTGTAGTCTTGTGGCAATGGGCGTTTACACTGCAGTCAGGTGTACAATTCATAGTATTTTTTTATTTCCATGATGAAACAATTAATCAGATCAAGTTCGTCAGTAAATAAGATTAGATAAGATAGGATATACTTTATAGATCCCAAATTGGGACATGTTTTCCTAACAGCAGTGTGTAAAACAAGGCATTGCACATCATTAGAAATGAAAAAGAGTAGAAAATAAACAATTATGAAATATGAACACCGTAAAGATAACAATCTAGAACTATCTGACAAATAAAACGCTATTGAAGGGCCAATTGCAGCTAACACAAGTAGGATATTATTTAAATGTACTAATACTTCACTTTTAGTGCAGAAAGTCCTGCAATAAAATATAAAAATCCTAACTGAAAATCAGAAAGATGGCTTGAATATAGGCTGAAAGTATCATTTTACAGTTCAGATAAATCTAATAAATTATCATTTTAAATTAGTTATTAATCTGATGATTATTTTGTAAAATATTTGGTGTCACGATTATAATAAAACTCTCATAGAAATGATGCAGAGATCAGTCCAAACCCCCATATTATTAATAATTAATTGAAAGAAAAATCAGCAAAATCTTTATTTTGTAAATCTGGAGACATAAAATATTTTTGCATGAAAAATAACTTTCCTTGAATTATTAAAAATAAATGTCTGTGAATTAATTATCGGTATAATTGTATTTGTTTTGTGTGCAAAAACCTTAATTTAACTTAAGGTATTTAAGTGTTGAGGTAAAATGTAAAACATTTCCTTGTGATATTAACTGAAGTAGAACAATTATTTAAATGAAGCTCAGCGCAAGTTCTTTCAGGAAGACTGGTATACATTCACTCCGCAGCTATAATCAGCTCATCACAAGCGTTCTCTTTGACCTATTACATTTCACCTCAATCTCAGCAGCCAATCACCGTGCTGCAGCCAAACTTTAAAATGGTTCTCCTCTCTCCTGCAGTCAGCTGTGATTTCAGGTTTTCATGCTGCCGCCCGCCTCCTCCCCATCCACCTCCTTTCATCATATCCAGTGCCAGGAGAGCTAATCCAAAAACCTCATCCCACCTCCTCTTCATCCCAACTCCTCATCAAATCCAGATCTTCAGCATCATCACCAGTGTCTAGACCACGGCTTCATTTCCCCCTTGAGATACGATTTCAGAATCGGGGTCTAATCGCCAAAGACTTAACTAAATAGAGTAACTCAAGTTTTACTCAAGTAGTACTTGAGTCACAATGTAAACATTCCAATACTGATGAATAATATTATTAAAGGTTGTAATATATCTATATAATTTCTGATATTAGATAAAGTCATATTTTAACCTTTACAACAGAAGTACACTCTCAAATTGGAGTAAATTATAAAATAAAGGTATTGTTGGGTAGTCTTATTTGTCTGTTCTATGCTGCTCAAATTGTGAAATATCTGGACATTATCTAAATAATTAAAGTACACCAAATGAAATCTCACTTCTGAAAAGGTTCCATTTGCTTTATTTGTTTTCTATAAAGATATCAAAAGTATAACTAATGTGGGAAACACGGATTACAAAATGATATCGTTTGCATGCATCTGTGACAAAATTACATTTGACATTACATAGATTTGTATATGTACACTGATCAGGCAATTAAGGTACATTATACATAGATGTGACACCTTTCATGGACTCTTATATCTTTGTAAATTACACTATATTTGAGCAATCTTGAGCATTGTTTATTTTGATAAGATTAAACTAGACTTTAAAGTCTTCAATGCTTATTTTCACTTTAAGAATTTGTGATTAAGTTAGAGAAAACAAAATGTACAGCCCAAAACCCCATAACTGAACAACCTTCACCTTTAAAGTGTAATATATATTCCACTTTACATTTCATTAATCTGACAATGTACACATTTCAATCACTTCCACACACATCACTGGTTCCCACAGTGTTTGCAGAAGTGAAATAATTAGCATTGAGAAACCTGTGTTTTAACCCAGTGATTATAAAGACTTGAAGTTAAAAAATATATGATAACAAAACTGAATGATCATAATCAATCAAATCAGAGGAAAAACCGACTAAAACCACTGAGTGTTCCCATTGTTCTCGTATTCAACACTCCCTTTCAAAATCGAATTATTCGTCTACTTGGAGCCACTTATAGATCAGATATAATCGGAGGTATGAAACCCTCTTTATAAATGGTCACACATGCAGAGCACGTAGCACACACAGTGACATTTGTTCTCTGCTTTTAACCCATCCTAGTACCAGGAGTCTAGCACTAGGAGCAGTGGGCAGCTATTGTACAGCAATGGGAGTGAGGGGGGAAGGGGGATGTCCGGTGCCTTGCTCAAGGGCACCACGGCAGGGCAGGAGGTGAACTGGGACCTCTCCAAGTAGCAGTCCGCACTCCATATTTTAGGTCTGGTCGGGGACTTGAAACGGCGACCCTACGGCTCAGAGTGCAATCCCCTACGGACCGAGCCCCTACGGACTGAGCCCCTACGGACTGAGCCCCTACGGACTGCGCCACTGCCGGACATGATCAGAGGTGCAGAGTTTTTACCACCATCATTAGGACAAGGACCAAAGTACAGGAAGAGTTTCTCAGTGAAGGAGCAGCCAGTGAAGGAGTAGATCAGAGCTGGAGCATCTACGTCATAAAAGGAGACCAGACCCTCTGAATAACTCACAAACACCCCCACCTTCTGAGGCTGAGACTTCAGAGAGAGAAGGACTGGGGGTACATTAAGAGCGCTGTATTCATTTCCATTTCTCAAACGTATAGTCCAGTAACCACTCTCAGGGCTCAGTTGGATGTTCTCTTTCCTGTTGATCGACTCTCTGGCCACTCCTAAAGTCCACATGGTCTTTTCTTTAACTTGAACCTCAAAGTAAAATCTGCCAAAAGAGAAACTCTGCTTTCCCAAAACACAAATAGAATTAGAAAATCTCTCTGGGTTGTTTGGGAGATTCTTCTTTACATCACCATGACTCACTTGTTTTCCATCATCAGACAGAATGAGTTCAGGTTGTGCTGTATCAGGGTCAAGAGTCACCTCCACTGCGTACCTCTGGACCCCCTTCAGCTCAGCTTCAATCAGCTTCTTCATCACTTCACTGAGTGTCTTCTCCAGCTCAACAGCAACTGTCACCACAATCCCCTCATATGATGATGAAGGGATGCTGACCTTTGTCCAGTCCTTGGTGGGTGGAGCATCTTTCAGGGATGAAAAGCTCTGGAGAAGGCGTAGATGGTCTTCAGAGCATGTGAGACGCTTCAACTCAGTGCTCTTCCTCTTCAGCTCAGAGATTTCCTGTTCCAGCTCTTTGATAACATCCTCAGCTTGTTTCTTTATTGTCTTCTGCTTTTCTTCAATTGTGTTAATGAGGAAGTCCATGCTTCTCTCAATATACTGCATGAGAGTTGTAAAGACTGTAACACCTATCTCTATCTCCTCCTCAGCATGTTTTTCGCTATAGTTAACATTTCGTTGGACCTTCCGAATCCTTTGTTGTTTCTCTTCGATCATCTGCCGAATTTCAGCCTCTTTCTTTCCCAGCGCTGCCTTCTTCCCTTCTTTGAGAGGAACCATATCATGCATCTTGTGGTCTAAAACAGTGCAGAGAATGCAGACACATGTCTGGTCGGTCTTACAGAACAGCTCCAGAGGTTTATCGTGCTTCGGACACATCCTGTCTTCCAGGTTCTCCACAGGGTCGATCAGCTGATGTCTTTTCAGGCTTGAAGCTGTCAGGTGAGGCTCCAGGTGAGTCTCACAGTAGGAGGGTCAGACACACACCAGGCAGGACTTCAGGGGCCTTCAGTTTGGTTTCAGTGCAGACGTCACAGGGAACTTCTCCTGGTTTGAAGACTTGTTGCTCTGAGCTGCTGCTGCTGGCTTTCTGTTGAGCCGACTGTCTGAACTGAGCGACCATCCCAGAGATGAAAGTGTTGATTCGCATTTCAGGTTTTTGGTCAAACATCTCGTTACACATGGGACACTGGCACTTGTCACTTATATCCCAGTGTTTGGTGATGCAGTTCTTGCAGAAGTTGTGTCCACATGGTGTGGTGACTGGATAAATTAACACATCCAGACAGATGGGACACAGAAACTGATCTTCAGATTGTAGGCAACTGGCGGTAGCCATATCTAAACACAGGGAACACAAGTGAGAAGTGTGGCAAGAAATCCATCAAAGTTTTGAGTTTCATCACATTTTTGGGACAGATCATCTTTTGTCTGAAACAATTATTTGGTTGTAATCAGTAAATGACAATGCAGGTCAATTAAATAAAAGCCACTGGTAGAAACAGCCAGCCATTTGCTTAAAGGAGTTTACTCAAATTGAATATTTAAGTCAAGACAGGGTCCTTTAGTTTAGGATTCAAGTTCAAGCAGGGCAAACCTATCTGTCAGGTTATTAGTCAACCAAATGAAATGTACGAGGTTGCATAATAACCCTGCCTTCTCTAAAGTGTCAGGACCCATAATACAGGTAGCCTAATCCAAAGCAGCCCTTTTTGAAACTTTAAACAACACACTGGTTATGATAGGTCAAATGGGCCCCAATTGGACATATGTGTAATCTGGTGTAAACCAAAATGAAGCAGTAATGACTTTCATTAATAAACACCCAATATATCATGTTTTATATTGGTACTCATTTGTGAGGTTTTACCAAACTTTATATTTAATAAAGTTAATCCTGCATATTGTATGTCGAGTTGATTTCAAACAAAGGCATGAAAACTCATTTAGGTACATTTTTTAAAGTATACTAAACAGTTACACGACAAACGAACATGTATACAAACCTATGATACAAACTCAACTGTGTGACTTTTTTCATCTCTGCAAATATTTAATCAAACAAAAAAGATTTACAAGAATGTGTCTGATATATTGTTAGAGAAAGATCATTTTTTTCTCACATTTGAAACACTATTTTCACACAAGCTACAATGGATCTAACAATGTTCATATTGACGATCTGTGGTGGTTTAATACTCGCTATGAGTGCGTATGAAAAACAGAGAAAAATCCTGTCTAAGTAAAGCTGAAGATTTTTGTAAATGCTGGTTGTTGAAAGGTTAAAATATGATCAGTTGTACTCACCAGTGTTTGCAAGAGCCTTTTGGTTGTTAAAGCAGATGTTACGATCTCAGATTAATGTTTCTTTCTTTCTTATGGCTCTGCTTTTGCTCTCAAATTCTTTCAGTTTCTTTTACTGGAAAGGATGTTGCAACAGGTATAAGTACATTCCAGTCAGGTCAGCTGGAACAGGTGGACTGGTTTTACCCCACTGGATCAGTCAGATAAATGCAAGTGCTTTACAACAATGAAAGACATTAAGAGCAGAACACACATTAGAATAATAATCCTTAATAATCACTACGTGGTAAAATAAAAGCATAAACGTCTGCTCTACTCAGGGCATGGCTTTTATTTTAATTTGCAGTCATTTTACTTCAATAAAAGGATCAGAATACTACCCCCACCATGTTCACTGGAGATGCCTGGAGATGGCCTTGTATAAAGAAATAATAATTAGACAGTATGAAGATGTCAGGTAACCTGTTTGGCTGATGGTAGGTTGTTGTGTTGACTTTCAATTGTGTTGTTGGTTTCAGGTTACTGTACTATCAAACAGCTGTGATTGACAGACCATCTGTTTTTAGTGAAGGCAGGTAAAGTTAGACTATCTTCTCCCTGCTCCTTTCCATCATGGGCTACACAAAGAAATGCTTAACCCTCCTGTTGTGCTGGGGTTTTTCATCAATCATAACTTTTTGTTTTACATTCGATTGCATTAAGGCTTTATGATATCCTTCACATTAAACATTTGAACATATCAAATTACTGATCACCACTTTCATTGAATTTTGGATGATTTAGTCAACTTTGTAACCCATGGTGTTCCCGGTCAAAAATGACCGCCATAGAGAAATGGAATTAGTAACCATCCGGATCAGATAAAAACACACACACACGCACGCACGCACACACACACACACACACACACACAGAACAATTTGACACATTTCCCGCTCTTATGTGCCCATCCCCCCACATGGATCACACCTGGCACACTAAATACATGTTCAGTGTCTATTCTTTGTATATTAACTGTAGTTTCTCATGTATACCAGTCGTCTGATACAAGACTTACAGTTTGAAAGGGTGTTAAATGAAATTTGGTGATGATTAATGGTTTTTGTGTTAATGTAATAGCAGTTAAAACAGGACCGGTCAAATTTGAGCGCGAACACCGAAGAAACTGTTCAGGTGGTGAGCGGTTTTGGTCCTGATGGAGAGCCACCTCCACTTCTAATCTACTCAGGGCAGGTATTCAAGGTTCAAGGCTTTTATTCTCATTTGTACATAGCTACTGTATAGGGCTGCATGATATTGGAAAAAACTGATATTGCGATATATTTTTCCCCCCTGCGATATGAAAAAATACAGGAATTGAAGAAAAGGCAGCTTTTTTGTCTGCAAACCATCCTTTCTTGAACTTTAATGCTAAACAATTGGTATTTTTCTAACTATATTTAACCGGATGAAGGATTTTAGTCACGGACGTCTGGATCTTAAGTTATCAGAGCAACAAGCTGAGCTAGCTCGGTTAGCAGCGCCGAACTGCCTTGGAGAAACACATGAAACTACTTTATTCAGTGTTTTTACCTTTAATCACCGGGTTCGTTTGCTTTGGAGATTTGATTGTGATGTTTGCTGTGCCTGCATGTCACTCACTCAAGTACCCCTGACATGAGACCCCCGCGAGTTTTCCTTTTGAAGCAAGCAGCAAAATAATTGTAACTTGACCTGTTTGAGTTAATTTGCCTACTTAAGCACATAATTAATATATATAAAATCGCACGTCCTCCGATGTGACTATCGCGCATGCACATATCGCGATTATCGTCACGACACGATATATCCTGCAGCCCTACTACATATGATAATGACATTATTAGGTCACAGGCTCCTCCAACAGTGCAACACAATAAAACAGATAAAATAGTGCAAGTACATACAATAAAATATAATTTAATATAAATAGTGCAGAATAGTCTCTCTACAAGTAATTGGAATATTGATATACGTTGCAAACAGATGAATGTTATGGATGTTCTTTCAAAAGAAGTTGAGTCGTATGGCCTGTGGAATGAAACTGTCCCTGAGTCTGGTATTTTACCTATAGTGGAGTGTTTTTACAGTATAGTATTAGTATTTTTACTTCAATAAAAGCTCTAGAATACTCAGTCCCCCACCACTGTATGAGTATGTATGGAGATGGGGCTTTTATTGTGAAAGAACCCCACCTGAAGTGTTAGGTGTGTTGCTTCCGGCGGTTGGTTAGCTTGACGTTGGCAGGAGGCTGCTGCTGAATTCAGGGAACAAACATGGACAGTCAAGGGAGAAAAATCGTTGTTTGTGACAATGGAACCGGGGTGAGTTTGAGAACAGGCGGTGGATTTAAATCTCCCTCCGTGTCGCTCTTTGTGCTCCTGCAATTTGATGAGCAAACGGAGAGAAAACTGGAAACAGGAAGTGATTATCGAGCTAACAGGCTAACGCGTTAGCATGTCTGGGTGGGTTGTGAGAGGAATGTGTCTGTCAGCTGGATCCATTCATCTACACCAGGGCTACAGATGACACATGTTGGTTATATTGATCAGTAGCACACCATTAAATACCCAATATTCTATACAAGTCTTGTTCAATCTGGTAGCTAGCGGTTAGTTTAGCCGTTTAGCTAGCTTTGGTTTGTAACTTTGGTCACGTTATGCACTGTCAGTGAACTTTAAAAATAACTAAAACAATCCCCAGTTCAATTTAACACTCCATTTTGACACCTTAGTAGTTTACATTTCAAAGTCATGAAGTCAATTAATTCCATTTCCGTACATGCTCAGTACATATTAGCCACGGTGGCTAGCTGAGTGCCTTTTTAGCTTTGCTTATTTAATATTACGAAGCAAAGGCACCAGGAGCCATCTTAAAGGACGAGTTAGAGATACAATCATTAATAATCTTTACTACAGAATCCCCTTTTTTCTGTTTTCTGTTTTAGTTAGCTAGGCTAGCTCAGTAGCCCTCTTCAGTCGGCCCGCCCTCGTTAGAAAGTGCAGACACCCAGTTTGAATGATCAGTGTCACTAAGTCCACCTACAGCTTCTTAAATGGGAAGATTTGCTCATCATTGTCCTTTTTTTAGGCTACGAATACTTTAACTCCTAATACTTTAACTTACTTTTCCTAATCGTTACTTTACTACTTCTCGATGCAGTTCTTTTACTTGATATTAAGTATGTATACAGTGTGGTATAAGTACTTTTACTCAAGTAAAGAATGTGAATACTTTTTCCACCACTGATAAGCATGTCTTTAAATGGCCATTTTTGTTTGTAGTAGCCAGCCTTTATAAATGCTAAACTATTCAGGAAAAGTGACTTTCATTCAAGTCAAAGCAGTTCTGTTATATCCAAGTAAAAAAGTTGTTAATACATATTTTGTATCTCTTACATACAGTGCTATTTAAGAATTGAGTTGAGTTTCAATCTCAGTTCATTATCATATGTACATTGTGGTTCGCAGTAGGGCTGCTCAATTAATCGTATTTTAATTGCAATTACGATTATGGCTTGCAACGATGACAAAACCAACGTAATCGAAATAAAATATTTTATTACTTATTTACATTTTTTTTTTGGTTTTTCAGTTGAATTATACGTAAAATTCAGGGTAATCAACTGTTAAAGACATTCTTTTCAAACATGTTCCAATAAATTGAGGTTTTCAAAGTAAATGGATAATCGTTTTTAATAATCGTGATATCAATTATTGACCCAAATAATCGAGACTATGATTTTTGCCATAATCGAGCAGCCCTAGTTCACAGGTACCAAGTCGGCCTCAGTGTGTATATATATCCCTTTTGAACCTACAAGATGTTGCTCTAGTGAAGGATTTAGCTTATTTAACATCTATTATACTTCAAATATTGTATTTGTAACACTTGTTTTTCCTTCTTTCCTTCTTTCATTCCCTTCCTAGTTTGTCAAGTGCGGCTTTGCAGGCTCCAACTTCCCCGAACACATTTTCCCAGCGCTGGTTGGCCGGCCAATCATCCGCTCCACAGCTAAAGTTGGCAACATTGAAATAAAGGTAACATGGAAATCCTTGTAACTGCAATATTAGATGTATTAGGAGGGATGGTGGAAAGTGGAAACAAGTTGGGTCTTAATTAACGCAAGTGATCATGTATGAAGCGCAATAATTATTTTCCATAATATACAAAGATTTTGCAGCTTTGGACCTTAACCAAACACTGCCGAGGCTCACTTCATTAACTTACTATCTTAAGTAGGTCACCTATTATTCTAAATGCACTTTTTGATTTCTTTTATACATAAAAATGTGTCCCTAAGAAGACTCCCAAAGTGTCAGAAAATACAAAAAAACTACTATATTTTCCTCCCTTTTCTAACAGGGCTGAAATAGAAGGGATACGAGGCATGGCTAGAATGGGTGATCTGTTTGATATTTTGAGCAAAACACTTGATAAACATGTTTTTTTATATATCTGAGACCTATATGCCTAAAAATAGTATAATAGGAGACCTTTACGTAAGACACAAGGAAAATGATTTTGATAATTCAGCTGATGAATTGTAAACTTTGTGGCTGTGGGATGCTTTAAAAGATCATTAGCCTAAGGAAGCAGCAGGTAAAGACCTAACTGATCTATTGAACTTTGACCCCTCGCAGGACCTGATGGTTGGCGATGAAGCCAGCGAGCTGCGCTCCATGTTGGAGGTGAACTATCCCATGGATAACGGCATCGTCAGGAACTGGGACGACATGAAGCACCTGTGGGACTACACCTTCGGCCCCGAGAAACTCAACATAAACTCCCGCGACTGCAAGATCCTTCTGACCGAGCCGCCCATGAACCCCACCAAGAACAGAGAAAAGATTATAGAGGTGGGCCATGTAAAGTCTCACATACTGTTTTCCTTTTGGCCTGAGAGACTGGATCAGGGTGATGGGCCCTAAGGTCATCCTAATTGATTTGTATTGGAAATGTGGCAGAAACACAACCTTTTTTAATGCTTTTATAGTTAACTTAGTTCTGTTTTTTCCTGCCAGGTGATGTTTGAAACGTACCAGTTTGAAGGAGTTTACATCGCCATCCAGGCTGTCCTCACTCTCTACGCTCAAGGTTTGTTTGTTTCCTTAGCACTCATGTTCACAGCTAAACTAAAAAAGTTATTCTCTGAGCAAAATCCAAGCAAGAACTACTTTTTCTAACAAAAGCCTCTAGCTAAATTCTAAAACTCATGGAGCTACATAGTTCGACTACCAGTGGAGCTGTAGAGCAATGTAGATGAGCAGGTATTGGTATCACATGCACACCTTGAATACTAAGTAATACACATCCTTGCATTCTTCTGTTTCAGGGCTGCTGACTGGAGTGGTGGTGGACTCTGGTGACGGTGTGACTCACATCTGTCCGGTGTACGAGGGCTTCTCGCTGCCTCACCTGACCCGACGTCTGGACATCGCAGGAAGGGACATAACACGCTACCTCATCAAGGTACCAGCAGCAACACACAGTGATGGACCGTCTTTATATTAGCCTCAATGGATCATTATAAAGTGACCATTCATTGTGACCTGCCCATGAGCATCTGGGTAATAATCATGCTGTCTAATTAGCATCTTGTTAAGCCACAACTGTCAGGTGGATGGACACTAGTAGGATGCTCCCTAATGCAGATTTTTAACACATTTGTGCAGAAATCAAGCCCTAAGTGTGCATTAAAAAATGTCCTTTTATCCAATCAGCATTCAGTGTTTAGGAAAACCCTCCAGGAAAAAAAACGAATTCAATATCAAAATAATGAATATCTTTTCACCACCTGTCATGTCACATATTTAGGTCTTTTCCTTCTTATTGTACTTTTTACATTCAGTTAACCTTTTTGTTGAAGCGCCGGTTGTTCTACGCAGTGGCTTATTCTTTGTAAAATGTCAAATGAATGTATTTTGATGCTTTGATAACCATGACATCCGTCTTCCAGCTGCTGCTGCTGCGAGGTTACGCCTTCAACCACTCTGCGGACTTTGAGACGGTGAGGATGATGAAGGAGAAGCTGTGCTACGTGGGTTATAACATCGAGCAGGAGCAGAAGCTGGCGCTGGAGACCACCGTGCTGGTGGAGTCGTACACGGTCAGTTAACGTCATGCTTAGAAACTCCATCTCTACCTGATTGTTGTGCTTTTATTTAGGTCTTAATGTGTCTTTGATTGTGTATATATATAGCCTAGGTATTTACATATTTAACTGGAAGATTGACAATAAAGTCGACTTGGACCTCGCTGCACTTTAAAAATACCTGAACAATAATTAGACCACTCTATGATGCCTGGTTTTCATATTCACATCAGTGTTATTTAATTATAATGTTTAGTATAGTGTTCTTAAAGTTTGCAATTTTTATTGAATTCAAGCAATTGTTTGTGTACTGATCTTGTGTTTTACATATCTTTATTTATTTGTACATTATTTAGGTAGAGGCTTTAAATAAGTCCAATGGGTTTTTTGCCTTTTCTGTTTTGTTTGTGTATTTTTTAATTATGCAAAACCATAAAAAAAAGCTATTTGATTTATTTCGAATGTGTAAAATAATAATACAAAAAATAAATAATAATAATGAAATAAAACATCAGAATTATTATATTATAATATTAAGCAGTGTCACATTGATAAACAAAAGTATTACTAACTTCCAAATTATATATAAACAAATAATCTACTTAATTACACATCCGAAAAGGGGTGGGAAGAAGTTTATACTTATTTAATCCCACCCCATCTCCCAAAAACTCAATTATTAACATATATATATTTATTTTAATTTTTGTTCCTTCACTGATAATGAGTTTTCAGACGTTGTCACATTTCTGACGGCTGGGGTTTTGTTGTGTCTTCAGCTCCCGGACGGCAGGTTGATCAAAGTGGGAGGGGAGAGGTTCGAAGCCCCCGAGGCTCTGTTTCAGCCTCACCTCATCAACGTGGAGGGGGTGGGGGTGGCCGAGCTGCTCTTCAACACCATCCAGGCTGCAGACATCGACACCAGGTGAGCTGCCAGCGACTGCTCGTCTTCATAGTTGATGGACAAGTAAAAATCCCTCTTTGAGTCACACATGTTCTGTCTGTTTTAATGCTTTAAAGGACACCTATCGTGCTATTTTTAGGCAATAGCATAGGTCTCAGATATATATAAAAAAACATGTCTATGAAGTGTTTTGCTCAAAATACAAACAGATCACCCATTCTAGCCATGCCTCATGTCCCTCTATTTCACTTCCTGTTTCAAAAGTGCTGATTTTATGTATAAAGCTTTAAAAAAATAAAAAATTGATACAAAATAAAAAAAGAGGGGCGGAGCTCATGCGGGACCGGCAGCTACTGTCTAAACTAAATGCTGCCGTGATGAAACGCCATATCATGGATTATCAAGGATTCTCTCTGAAACAGTTTGGAGCTCAAAGGCTTTCTCTCTAGCCGGTTATACCACAAGGTGAGTTCCTTTTTACTTCCTGCTTCTTCACACACATGCTCTCCAGTACAGGTTAGCTCTGAGTGTTAGCGATGCTAATGTAAACACCGACCATATTACGTCCAAAACAGTCGGGCATTGTTCTGATAGCAACGTTTCTGATTGGCCCGTGGGTCCACATTTCAGATATTACGTCGTAACGGACGCAAATCTGGATCAGCTCCGTTGTTCCCCGTTTTTAGAGATTTGGGTACGGAGGAAAAGAGAGAGGGTTATAGTTTCTGACGCTGTGTGAGTTCCCCGACACACCGGGGACACATGTTTATATATAAAAGACATCAAAAAGTGCATTTTGCATGATAGGTCCCCTTTAAATGCTTTTTGTAAAGAACTTTGACTTGCCTTTTGTTGACATGTGTTGTATTATAAACTGGCCTTGCATTGATATCTCTTCACTGGATAGTAAAACCATCAATAATGTTGACAAGTTGTATTCAAAAGTAAGACAACTCAAAAAATTAGAAGTCTGTAAAATATTGAACCTTTGAGATATGATTTAGTTAAAACATTTCCAGAAAAACCCTCTGAAACAGAATTAAGGTCATCATAAGACACTGAGACAAATGATGACTAACATGTTTACACATACTTTGTCAAGATGAACACTTCTCACAGCTAGCAAGGATTAAGTGACGTAATAAAACCAGTATTTTCTTTGGTCTAACCTCGTTGTTTTTCTATAATAAGGTCTGAGTTCTACAAGCACATCGTCCTGTCCGGAGGCTCCACCATGTACCCCGGCCTGCCGTCCCGCCTGGAGCGCGAGATGAAGCAGCTGTACCTGGAGAGAGTGCTGAAGGGAGACGTGGACAAGCTATCTGTGAGTACAAGCGTTTGAACTTCATTGAGTTTCAAAAGAACATTATGGAAAATGTCCCCTTGTAACCGGTCCTGCTCTGTTAAAGACGTCACTCCTTTGTAAAATGCTTTTATTTATTTGTATTTACTTTACTATTATTAATAAATGTTGTATAATGCATTTATTTTAACTATTTTTTATTTTATTCTTTACTTTATTTTATTTCATATTCTGTTTTACCATATTACTAGTTGTCATTTGAATGGAAAAGTCCTGTCAGGATATGTCTTGATTTAAAACATGAGGCATCGAGGGAAGACACCACTTGTCCCTTTTCCAAAAATATGACTTTTACTGAAATATGTCTAAAAATGTCCAAAACCGATCTCTGTTAGTTTGGTGTGTTGCCTCTGAATCCATGTACTCTTAGTTATGTCGAAGGGTATTTTTATATGTCGAATTGTGATGATGTTTTCTTAAGATGAAGAGCCTCATGGAGATGTCTGGTGAATATTTTCCAGTCAGACTTTTATAACAGAGGCCTAGACTTCATTACTAATAATAACCGCCTACTGGAAATATATCGTAGTTGGAGTACATTAATTTGCAGTCTTCAGTTCAAATGATATAATGGGACAAAATGAAGCTTAATGTCAGACCTACAATCAGTGGTTTTTGCCAAGTAGGTTTACACATACAAGGGATTTGCTTTGGTGAATAATGGTGCATATACAAACACAATTAGAGGAGTTAAGGTGTCAAATAAACTTGTTATTAAATGTAAAAAATAAGAGTTTACAAGCAATATAAATATATACACGAAGTAAGTACAATACGAATTTGACACAGGACTCTGAAATATCTAAAATGTGCAGTATAATTAGATTTAAAAGTGGGAAGAGCTGTGCGAGCTGCATTGTGTAGAAATGTGCATAAGTTACCGGGAAAAAGTGTGTTTCCAACTTAGATTTTCCACTTCTTCTTATCAGGTTGATCAGTTACAGAAAAGCACCAGAGCGTTCTTGTGCAGTGCTTGTTTTCACCACTAGGGGGCACTAATGCCTTCAACATCCAGAAACCTCTCTGTCAGTCTAATGACGATGAGTTGAAAATAAATCTGATTGTTCCTCGAAAGTAGCCACGCTCTGCTGCTCAGGGAAACCCTCCAGCCTGCATTAAAAGATCTTCAGAGTATTTAAAGCACCTCACAAGAAGCGGGGGGTTGTGGGGGGACAACCAGAGAGACCCCCAGACCCCCAGAGACCCCCAGAGACCCAGACTGACACACAGACACACAGACACACAGACACACAGAGACAGACAGGGTGTTCGCTATTGGGTGCCAGCACTCTGTTGACACTCTACTTTCCGCTTTGTCTCCGCAGAAATTCAAGATCCGGATAGAGGACCCCCCCCGGCGTAAACACATGGTGTTCCTGGGCGGCGCCGTGCTGGCCGACATCATGAAGGACAAGGACAACTTCTGGATGACCAGGGAGGAGTATCAGGAGAAAGGGACGCGCGTGCTGGAGAAGCTCGGAGTCACCGTCAGATAAAACACAAACAGAAACACCCCCCCCCCCCCTCCATCTCTCAGCTGATATCCACGCATCGCTCACCTCGATGTGTCGGGGTGTCGTCGAGTCACGCTCATTTTTATAAAGCAAGGAGGGAGGAAGAAGATGAAGGATACGGGGTAAGAAGTCTCATGGTGAAGGAGGTGCTAACAGAGCTCTTGAATATATGCCCTCCAAAAAAAAGAAATGCTGACAAATGTGTTTAAAGATGCACAAGATGGCGCCATTTAGTCCTCAATTTAGTACCAGAGTTTCGGTAACATTTGCTTCCTTGGCAAGACTTTCATCATGGCTGCACAATTTCAATATTGACTGGTTTTGCAATTGCGACATGATTCCCGATATTAAAGGAATCATCTTTCTGTAAAATACTGGATATTTGACTTCTCTGTACGAGAGTGTATCAGAACATTTCATAATGTTGCATTTCGGCTTGTATTCAATTGAATACATGTGCATGCAGCCTATACTCTCATACCTCTCATTTCAACATGAAACTGAAGCTAGAACGTTGTTAGCTTAGCTTAGCATAAAGACTGGAAGCAGTTAGCCTCACAAAACCTGGCAACCAGCACAGGGCACACGCTTTAGTTGTCACTGAAGGCAAGGATGGGTTTTTGCAAATATTTTAACACCAAACTTTAAAAAGGCCATTCACCATGAGAAGACAAGAATAGAGAGGAATTAAAAATACTGATATGAGGCACCTCCAGTATTTAGTTAGTTCAGCAGAGATATAAGGACATGCTAATCAATGAGCTTTAGAGCTGCTTGTAGATGGGTTTTGTGTCCTATGCTAAGCTAACTAGCTGCTGTCTAAGCGTTATTCTGAACTTACATGAAAGTCTTGCCAAGTAAGCAAATAAGCGCTTTTTCAAATATGTCGACAACAAAAAGAACAGTTATTACGGCATTCAGGTGCAGGCTGGTTACTTTGACGTGGGGATATTCTCATTTTTCTTTTTATAGCAGCTTATGTGCGAGTATTTTAGTTTCTAGTGCCTTTCACAGGAGGCCAGAAAAAGCTCCTGGCTGTTTTCAAGTTGAAGGCGACGATGATTATTGTTATTATGATGAGTGATGCGTTTCCTTTCCAAAGCGAGACCCCCCGCCTTGCTAAAAATGCACTGCCTAATCTGTCAAAACAGATGTCGGCTTAAAAAAGGATGCTCACAGTGTGGAGCATTACAGAGATTAGATATAAGAACAAATAGACCATTACATGCGGAGTGTTTTTACACACTGATTATTAAATAACACCCCCACCCCCCGCCCCCTCTCATTTCCTGTTTGGGAGCGAGTCACTGTCAGGTGCAGTTTCACTCAGCACCTCGCTTGTCTCGATTGCTTGCTTCTTGAGCGCGGGAGTCCATGCGTTTCTCAAGATTGAAATATGAAGATTTGAGAGGAATGGTTTGGAAACATCTTAAGAAAGCTGGATGTGTCTCAGTCCTCTAGCTTTCTTTCCTTCTTCCTGAATCACGCTGTTGAAAAGGATGGTGATTCAAAGAGTGTAGGATTTGGAAGCAGTCCAGTTGAAGCTCTTAATGGGTTGGATGTGTCTCTGTTTACCAACAAATCAACCTTTCCAGATCAGAGGGTTTATGTGAGAAGGGTTTTGATTCGTTGTCGACGGTTAATCTACATAATTTCTCTCGTGCCAATAACGCACCACGCTTTCAAAACCACTGAGGCTCTATTCCCTTTTCTTTAACATGCATTTCTTTTCTCTTTATCATTGCTGTGCTTTTTGTCTCTGAGGACACCAGGGTTTCTCTGACCGACTGTCATACGTCTGACTGTTGACCGGTTTCATTCCCCATGTTCACTGTGGTCACATTGAAGCTTTCTGCCCTCAACAGCTGAACACAGCTCAGCCATCCCTATCAGACCATCATTTTAAACTGTCGTGAACAAAGGGATTGGCTGGTTCTGGGTCAGATGTTGAGGGGGAATAAATTAAATATATTGTGTATTAAGAAGGAAATGTCCAACAGGAAGTAATTCCCTGTCTTGGTCTTGAAGGAGGAAAGGAGGTGTGGCCTATTTAATCGTACAGAGCTAATTGAGGATGTAAACATAATGGAAATAAACAATCTCATTGGTTGAAGCAAAATAAAAAGTGACAGGATGACTAATACTCTTAAGTGTCCTGCCATGTTATATGACCTTCGTGCAAACCTCTTAACCATCTTACAGTATGCATTTCATTACATTTACATAATCATTTCACTAGTTATCTAAGTAGTTGCTGTAGAGAAACATATGGTTTGTTCTGGGTCCCAAAGCTTCATGTTTTTTAGGACAATAATCAAAAGATAATTGTAATAACCCTTATTTTTATAGGTTTTCAAAACAAAATAACTATCACATGGTTCATTTGGGATTCATTCACTTCCCAACAATCATGTAAGATAATATGACTACCATTTTATGATAGGCTGGAGAGGACAAACATTTCTTGTTCCCCAAATATCTTTTACCATAATGAACAATTTATTGAGATAAAAGATTATATTACAGCTTTCTGAAAAATCATCTCGTTCCATTGTGGTACTACATTACCCAGAAGCCTCAGCGCAGTTGCAATTGGACCCGATAATGTTCAACCAATGAGATCATTGTAGTGTTTGTTCATCTCAATCACTGAACCTGCACTATTTAGAAAACTTAAGAGTAAAATCAGTTCATTTTTGATTTTGCGTTCCTCTGATTAAATCTTAGTTTTCTTTTCGATCGTGACCACACCTGCCCCTCCTTCTCGGCTCAACTGAAGATTAATTTGTGGGTTTGGGGTTACAGGCGAATTTTTGTGGGTTACTGATATATTATTTTGTGATGTTAATAAGAATCTGGTGTCAGGCAAAAGGGAAAACCACGTAAAAGCTGGTATTTGTGGTTTTCCTTCTCGGTTCTTATGTGTATATTGGAGGCACTTGCATATATAAATATCAATGTAGAATGTTCCTCTTCACGGTCATCGAGTGCCAACTACAGTTATTCTTGTCGGATATTATTTTTGGTCGTCCTTTTTATGTTTTGTTTATAACATAATTGCCAACCGCTGATTTAAATAAAGCAAAGTGATTTATAGACGCCTGGTGTTGCTGTGTTTTTAATTCTGTTAGCAATGACACCTTCCTCAGCAAGATCAAGAAGAAGCCATTTTAGTCCTTTTTATAAAGTAGTTTTAGATAAAGATTCTGGTGATATTCTATAGTTTTCTTATTGGAGACTAACACATCTACTTCCTTTGGGCCACAGAGCTCCATTATAGTAAAAAACATATACGCCGATCGCAGGGGGGGCGCCAGGCCTCAGATGATTTGAGGCCAAATATCATATTTAGACTTTTCTTTTTGTTACATATAATTGTAAAGCAATACATGATTGTCACTAAAAGCCTTGTCTCTACATTACAATAAAATATACAACATAATTGATTAATTAGTTTTAACAAAAATTCAAGTTAGTATTAAAGGCATAAAAACACAGAAATGTATAATTCTTTCTTTAATAGAAATGTTTCTTCTGCCCGTAAAGTGTCCAAACCGGGCTTTTCTGGATAAGCGCATTTTTAAAACACAGTCATTGTCCATGCCGGTTTCAGTTGGATGATTTGTCACAGTTGCTCCGATCAGATCGGTCTCCTCCATTTTGTAGATTATTTACTTTTGAATCCACATAAACACACCGGCAAAATCCGGCTTACTTTGAGAATGTGTTTTAAACCTTTAATCCCTTTGTGAATTGTTTCCACTTGCGCCGTCCTTTAATTTCTTCATAGCGGGAATCCGAATGAATCCTGAGTCCAATAACCATCAAAGTCACTCCTATAGTGCTCCTTAATTATGCTTTCATCCTCCTTTAACAACATACTTCACATTCATCCAGTTTGTGACAGTAGTTGTAGCATTTTGAGACTTTTAAACTTTAATCCCTGCTGTTGCGCGCCCCCCCCCCCCTCCCCCCTATGTGTGTGTGTGGGGGGGGGAACTACTTCCAACAGGAGTCATTTGGGGGGGCTCTTGGGAAAAAAGGTTGGGAACCCCTGCATTAGACCACCAAAATAATAAAAATATATATTATTATTATTTATTTTTATGAGATCCATTTTTGGCGGACGACATTTAATTGTGGCGACACACACACTCACACACCAAACTAAAGAAAAAATGAAGCAGCAATCAAGCTTGGTTGTAGAGTTGAAGATGCACTCATAAAACAACCTAATCACCGTGTGTGTGTGTGTGTGTGTGTGTGTGTGGGCCTGATTTACCGAGGCCCCAGTGAGTCTGCCTGCCTCGCTTTGTTTACGCTGATGAAATCTGAAACAAATGTGACTGTGCAGACCACCAACCCTCCTATCCTGTGTGTGTGTGTCCTGTAGTCTGACATTTAAAACATCTTCTAGAAGCTAATCTCTTTGAAGTCGATCGAAGAGCACATTCTGCTTATTCTAATTGATAACCAAAAGTCTTAGATCTCACATTTAAAATCATCTGTCATGGTTTTGATAAAAATGCTTATTACCTTTTTTTTCTTCCAAGTAAGCTTTGTGGATCTTCATCTGATCATTTGGACCACTAGAGGCATTACAATAAACGCTAATAT